GATAATGTAACTGGGCGTACATCCCGTGACCCTTATACTGACCCATTACCCAATACCACTTCCCTAAACCATCGCACGTGGGACAGTAACTATCAACACGTAGATTCTTCAGTACGCCAAGGGAACCAAGTGCCCCCACCGGTGTCACGATCGTCCACCTCATCGTCGTTAACGGGATTGCCTAAAGGAGTAGATGTCGTTTATGGACCAGAGGATGTATTCTCTGAACCTAGTATGTCGAGACGTTCGACGCAACTATTCGTTACTGAACCCATACTTTCGCGACAGGGATCTCATCCTCCAGCCAGCGCTATGCCTTCTACATCGAATCATTCTCGACACACACATAATCGTACTAGTCAATCCTATCCCGTGACTCGCTCTTCGTCGCCCACTCGACGACCTGACCGACAAGTCCCGTGGACTAGTGCCTACTACGGTTCCTATGATAATGACGAAATAGTACCTTCGTGGGATGACTTGGGTAGTCCCGTGGAACTGCTCTCCCCCGAGATGGGCAAGCCCATTGTTTTGGAACCTTCGCAAAGTGGCACTGCGGCGCATTTGGCTACTCTGGCCAATGCTGGTTATACCTTGTCTCCTTATACCCCTTCATTTGATCGTATCGTTGTGCACCGGGCCAAGCCCCACGGTCAAAGCGGTAAACCGCCTAGCATGGGCAATATGAGTCGCCCACCTCAGCCATTTACGGCTTCCTCGACCGACAAGACTATCGCAAAGGAAAGCGAGACTGGTGAGCCATCTCCGTTCACTTCCCCACCGACTACTTCTGGGTCCTCGCCTTCAAGTGTGTTAGAAATTCGCGTCAATAGAAACGGTCGAATTGACGAAGAGGTAGGCGACAACAGTCAAGCAGCCCCTCCTCCAGTACAACCCACCTTCAAACCATCCCGTCGTGGAGACCCACAGCGTTTGGATACCCCATGCGATAGCTCTCAACTTCGTATCTTGACTCGACTGGACAGTAGCGGCCAACCCATGTCTTTGCCAATGTCGTCGGAAGGCTTTAGCTTGAACCAATCTTCTGGGGTATCTCTCGGTGAACATCACCGTCATCCCACGGAAACACCGCACTCCACCGTATCCCTTCCAGCTACTCCCTATGTAGCTGATAACGGAGGAAATGACACCGCGGGGTCCTTTGGGCAACGTTGGTATGAACAGCATAAACGTCGTCATGGATACCGTCCCGTGGTTAAACGCAGTGTGTATAAAGTCCACGGTGTATCCCTCCCCTTGTAATGGCCTTTATAGCATTCGTCACTCTTTGATGGGTATATCTAGAACTTTAATTCGTCTAAGCTGCACTCGCTGCTTTACTTTACACCATTCCTACTATTTCCATACAGCAGGAACACTTTCCCTGCATTGTTTTTCGCTAAGCTATGTCATTCTAGCTTTTTGTATTTTTACACTAGAGTTATATTTCAAGTACTCTTTTTATTACCACATTAAAGGTGGAAACTCAAACGCATTGCCTTTTTTTGGGGGGGGATTTATCCACCGCTGTCATCTAGACACAACTTTATAGACAATGAATGTAGTATATTACGTGCTTCAATTATATTGCAAACGACTGGCATGATGTGCATTTCTAAAAAAAAATTGAGGTTGGGGCTAATGATTACCTGTATATGAAATCAAAATATGGCAGTTTCAAAACTAGATATCATCGGTGCTGTCACTGTCCGTCTTTGTAGATATCGGTGACGTATTCTCGCTTAGGGATCGATACACTCGGTTACAATACAATAAAGCAGGTTCGGTATGTACGGATAAGTCCGTGTCCAGCATCTCTGTGGCAAGCTCGTCCGAAACTCGACTGCTTTTGAGAAACAAAGGCGAAGGCGTTCTGGGCGTCGTCTTAGGGCCAGGCTTTCCCCCAGATTCCGGGTTACCGCTTTGCAGTATGCTACGATTCCACACATCCGTTAGCCATACAAACCATACGTCGTGGTCACCCACTGTGACCACTTTACCAGTACTCCCCACGAATCCCCCCACGGTGTCTTGCAACAGGGGGACGGGGCAGTCTGGTGAGAGTAGGGCGTGTGGAAGTGACTGGAAAGGGTCGTGGGTGGGATTGTATTGAAATTGAGGGCTAGCAAACAGATCGCTTACGATGGCTTGAGTATGAGACAGTATATTAATGCCAACGGTGGACTGTAGTACATCATCTGGTGAGTTGGTCGGGGTAATATGATTGGAATGTAGTACTTTACCGAACCTAGATGGATTTCGAATATTGAAGGATACAATCGGGGGCTTCAGGGATACCGAACTAAACGAACCGACGGTCATTCCCATCGGCCTTCCGTTGGTATAGTCATAGGTTGTCAAGACCACCACTGCACTCAGAATTGCACATAGCGTAGAAATTGGAAGGGGAGTTAGTTGATTCTGGAGTTTCATTCGGCTACTTTATACCGGGGCTAAAAAAAAATTCATTTCGAAACAAATGATATCTTACAAGGCGTCAAACTTTACCTGGCGTGGCAATAGAGCGGAGAATGTGTCGAACAGTATTCGTAAAAACTGAAGGGGCCTCTGGCGCTGTGTTCCCCGACGGTGAACTATGGTCTGTTTCAGAAACAATGGGAATGCACGACATGTGGTAAGTTTGAGGTTTGCTAAATGACTTTGGGGTAACTCAAATTCTCCGAGACCAACCATTGCAGGTGAATGGTAACATGTACTCTCAAAAAAAACCCCATGTATACTACTGAGGAAATACAGGTGAATTTATACGGTATATACAGCAAGGTGGCTCCACTTACCTTTAATTTGCGAAGTGAACGAAGCGGGAAAAGGCTGCGTAGTGGCATGGGTGGATTGCATTCGCCGTCGTACATTGCTCTGTATTTCAGGCAGTATTCGCCGCCGGCCGATATGACCCCTTGTGAACCGAAACATGGTTTGTAACCCCACCTGGACAAAATGATCGACTCGCAAAACAAAACTTGGAAATATTTACTAGAGAACTGTATAAATTAAAAAGTACGTAATGTGCAACGCGGGGCACAACGGGTAGAATAAGTTATCGTTTGGCCATTTCGTAAGAATTTTTAAAGTTGTGGAATATAACCCCATTGATTGATGTTTTTGACTACGAGATAAGTTGGGTATTGCTCTATATCACAAATTGGGGATAATAAATTTAAAGATCTTCAAGAATAATTCCCATTCCAAGGTATAATTGGTATTAGGAGCATAAAGACAGCATGCTGTTTTTCAACAGGGTCATCTTAGGTTTGTATATGCCGTTAAGTTCGAAAGTCCAGTTCCGGTTCGCGACATGGCTTCAATCATATGATATTGATTCAAACAGGTCGGCAATACTATTGCGATAATGACCTCTCGCCTTATGGCTGACATTGCTACGTCTTCTGTAAAACGGACGTGGCTAAAGTTGTACTGGGAGCCAAGTGGAGTTCTTCACTGACTAATAGTATGATTCCAAACCAATACAAACAATCGCCAAAAGATACAGTGGCAATGATGCCTGATAACTCTAAGATACAGGTATAAAGTATGGGTAAGATTCTGAAACAAATTCTCACTTGGGTGCCACTTATCCTAACTCTGGGTAGCTAGGAGTAGCATATTTAGTGGTGGCCTATAAAATGACCAGTGTATAGTGGTCAATTTGGAGGGCAATGTATAAGGCTGTAAAAATATATATATAAAGAGTTTGTTACTGATACGGAATGCAAATCTCTGCGCCTGTAAATCAGGAGGAGGGGAGCGTAAACATTCATGATATCCAAAAAATTGGAATAGCTTGTGTTTCAGATTTAAGTATAAGATAGAAAAAGAGCCTATTGGCAGCGAAGTGGCGCAGCGGAAGCGCGCAAGGCTCATAACCTTGAGGTCCTACGATCGAAACGTAGCTTCGCTAAGATTTTTTTTGTAGTTTGGATGTGAGTTTTTTGACGGCTTTTTTTTTCTGAGTTTGGCAACTTTTTTTGTACTTCTTCTTGTTCTTTGTCTTTTCTTTCGCCATTTATAAACCACATTTACATGTTTCATGCTCTTTTTTTATTAAAAAAGCCAATGATAGTATCACTTACATCTTATTACCGGGCAATTCAACCCCATCATCATCTAGGATAACACATACGTACTTCTAAACTTACCTACAACTACATTGTACTAACTAACTGCTAGGAACAATGTATCTGGAGTAATAAACTTAAATAGCGATCTAGAATCAACCATAACATTGCCATAAAAGTCAATATGGCTAATCCTAGCAGTTGTAATACTTCATCAAAAGAATAAAAACTAAAACCCCCACACCCATGACCGCACTACTAACAATATCTATAAAACTCAGCTGCCAATTGCTAAACAAAATATAAATATTTAGCGTCAATCCTAGATAATACTTGGACAAAAATATGAACATGAAATTACTCACCATCATAGCATTTCCAAATAAACTTAATAACAAAACCAACTACTCAAGAAGGTAATAACTTCATAGATTCCAATTCACCAATTCGAACTGGCCTTGTATCATTGGAATCCATAACCATTTTCCCCGCCGATGCTATACTCAAAAAATCCAACTATCTTCCACGTAGGTTAAAAAATTTACTTAGGAGAACAAAATAATCACACCAGCTGGTCACCCGACTTAGGTTAGTCACGGTCGCATAATGAAGCTGTTGGAACTCTACATGAGAACTTGTTTACCATTTTCCAACTCCACCTCCGAGTTACTGTCAGCGCGGATTCGGCAGGCTAATCACCCCGTGGTGGTGCTTGGGAAACAATGATATCGCATAACAGCAGTAAGAACCATCGTGGTAGAAAAATGGGGAGATATATTCAAACTGGGAATAGGGCTCAGGGCTTCAAGGTCAGAGCCTCGAACAGTAAGTGCGTGAAGTATGAGCCCCAGTCATTTTTTTCAACCCCCGTGGTCGATTTAAGGTAATATCATGTGAAGCTCCAGGACCAAACTATCGATGGAGTTTGGGTTTTTGATGCATTTACAAAGGTTGGGTAACTTATTATTTTATTTTATAAAGACCTTGTGCAGGCACAAACGTGCAAAAAAAATTCACTTCAAGTTCAAGGAAGATGGTTCCTTAAAAAGACAAGAAAATAATAAAAATTTCCTACCCACGACATTTAGAGATGAAGTTTTGCATCTCATCAATCTTGCGTTGATTTTTAGGGGTGGTGTGAACCATCATTTTATTACTAGATAAGCTGTGTCAGATAGAAAATAAAAATGTAAAATTATAATCAGTAGCGTTCAATACAATGGCACTTTTAGGGTACCTCCACAGCCCAGGTCAGTTAGAACTCGAGCAAAGCTATTCCTACCAACGGGCTGATACTCCATGGTGAAGGGTGGTATAACACGATGCTAGGTACATTTGCACCCAAACGTTGATGGATCTGGTCTGATAAGAAAGCAATAGTTCTACACGATACATCAATTTTCTCCCCCCGCCCATCATCGATGAAGCACCTTTGTCGCCCTCTCCAAATACCTCCACAATAATACAGAATTTCCTCAGACTTGGGATTATTTAAGTGGGCTAAAGGGTAACGGAGTTAGAATGTTGGACTGCATTTCATCAATCAACCGTACGGTATTGTACACTGTTTGGGCCCACCCTTCATTGGACCAGGCCTCCTCACGAGTACGTTTGCGCACCTCCAAATCGGGATAGGCCCACATATGGTGAACGTAGTTGAGATGTCCCAGCTGGGAGAACCACGCCCCGATAGGGTGCTCCAAACTCCTGCGACATTCGATACCACGACGCCAGTTGGACTCCCATTCCAGTAGATGCCCCGGTTTGAGACGGTAGGAGCGTAATTCGTAAATACCGTTAGTGGTAACCGGAGGGCTGGTTGGCCAAAAGGCAAATTCGAGCATAATGTGGTTATTGCGACTAACCAACAATTTTTGGCAGCAACGTTGGAAGTCTTGATATACAGGGTTGTGGCGCATTTGCGCCACCAGTTCCGAATATTCCGGATATCCCTTGTACTCCCAAATGTGAAAGAAGGTGTCGAGTTTCCCCACGTCCGTTAGCCAACTACCGCAAAGTTTCACCTTGGGACTAAGGTCAGCCACCAAGCGCGGGTAAAACTCAGATATCACGGCTGCGTACTCATCCACGCAGTCGGGCTTCACATTATGCTCACACAGCTCGTGAACGTACTTGCCACGGGCCAGTAGCCGAGAAAAGGTTTCCTGGGCGTCTTTCCGGGCCTTGGGGGAACCGTGGAGGATGCTGTTGACCAACGACGAAGCTCGCTTGGGCAAAGACTTGCCGTCGGGAGTTTCGGTATCCACCTCCGACTCATTAGCCGACACATCCGGAGAATTTTTGGCTTCCAAGTAGGGCATTGTAGTGGTTAAAGAACGAGACCAGGCTAAGGGACCATGTTTGAGACCGGGCGACCAGAAGATGGCCCTACCCAGGCCATTCGGTCGCCGGACGGCACGTACCATCCAATTACGCGAAAGTGACGAACAGTTCATTGGCTCACGTAGGCACCCTTGGCACAGGCACAATGTTAGCACGGTTAAGGAAATGTAAGTACGAAGGAACAAAGCGGCTTGAAAAGTACAAAGAATTTAGTATAAACAGACCGACCAAAGTAGCAAAGTTAACAAGGTAAGTTGAGAAAAATGGGTAGAAATACGAAAGTCACAGCGACAGAACCGTGTGAAACGGAAAGTACTAAGAAGCCAGGCAGTGGAATAAGAGGGGGGAAAAGGATTTTCCAGACGCCCAGAAAATGGAAAGGTAGTACCCTGCCCGAATGTGCCTTGTTTAAAATTCCACAGTCACTAAGTACCGCATGACGGGGTCAGCGCATCTGCTTCCCGTAGAGAAATACAATGACCACCCCTGAGAGGTTTCTGTACACCTTCCTTCAGTACGGCGGAGTTGGTATTTTTGTTTGGCTTTATATTTGTGTTTTAATTCCCTGATGTGTACAAAGCATTATATGGCTAGTTTTTTTTTCTGCCAATATAGCGATGGATCCGCCGAATTCGATTGCAGCGCATACAAAAATTCGTATTGATTAAGCTGTTAATACCCCATTTAAATCTCTACCCAGCTGAAGAATATCACTCATAGTACTTGGTTAATCTAGACAATTATTAAATAATCGATACATTTATTATATCCCCCCCATTCCCCTCCCTTACGAAGAGTTGGACATGGTTAGCTTACCTGGTTTTACCGGCCATCTTGGTAGTAGTAGCGTTTTAACCCTACAACAACAGGGTCGGATAATTGCTGTAAAGTACAAATCCATGCTATCCCCGCCTAACCAAAAAACATCTCATCGCCAACACTCAAGCCCCAATACCAACACTACAAACCATGACACCTCACTATCCATAAAAGCCAGAAAACAAGAATACATAGAGAACTGTACTCACCCACAAACGTATACTGCAAAATATAAATCAATAAATCAAACAATAACACTGAACCAATGGGCAGGATCTCGACATGGTTATATATCCCCCAAACGACATTCATTGTCAAGTGGTGTCGTAGAGGAAATCAAACATTTATCACGAATTGAAACACAGCAAAGCTTACCCTATCCATTTTTACAAGCATTGTTAGTCTTGCCAAACTAGACGAAAGACAACTCCATCATATTGGGTATATACCCATATCCATACGCCATCACGTAGTCCCTTCTCTTCCTTAAAAGAGATGCTACATGTAATGGGCGGTATATTCTTCTTCGATAATAAGCACAAGATTTTCCCTAGAATACATTTTGCTCCAAATCGCTAGATAGTTGAAGAATAACCAACTATATCACTGTCCCTTACTTTCTAATGGGGAAGGGCTAGCGAGTCCAAACAAGTGCTCTTTCTAGATAAAAGTATTACTATTATCTAGAATTCAAATGCCAAAGGGAGTGTGATGTTTGGTAAGGGCTTGGCCATTTATAGAAACAGCAATGGTACTATCGATTATTAGCGTGGGCAAGCTGCATTATACTCATTGAATATTCTGGCTTATTAGTAGCCCATTTTTGCAATCAAAGAGAGTAGATATGCAGCATCTACTATGAAGACTATGCTGGGGCTGCTGTAAAAGTAGTAAACGCCAGTCATGACACCCAATGATAAAGGGCAGGTAACTAGGGGTGTACTTGAGTAGCTTACATTCAGGTAGGAAAGTTGCTGACATAGCAAAATTAAGGACTGCCGATTTACTGCATTGCCAAAAAAAATCACTAGAGAAAATAGCAGAGCATTCTTTTATAGTTCATGACAGGTAAATATAAATGAGAAAGGGCAGGGGCGAGAACCGCCCCTGTTGCCCATTGACGGTGTATACTTACAGAAAGCCACAACGGCGTTGCCCATTCCATTATACCACAATCTACCTAGGCGGTGGACCAGGGTCACTCAGATTTGCGCCGCTTGCTCTTATTGTTCATTTCGCCACCGGACGAGGCCCCTGGATTACTATTCGTGATAGCCGCTACCTTGGGGCACGCACGGAGATAAGTCTCACATTCTGCTGCCGTGCCCTGTGGGTGAAGCAGCTGCCATTCCATCACCAATTCCAAGACTTGGCCCACATTTGGACCGGGCGGTACCTTGAGCTTCTTGGCTAGCGGACGGCCGGTCAGGACATGTTTCCACGTATGGCATTTTGCAAGTTCGTGATCCACGATGAATTCCACCGTTTGATGGTAGGATTCAGCAAGTTCTCTGCAAGCCGTTTCATTAATCATGTCGCTCAGTTTTGGTTCCTCCAGGCCGGGTTCATTGTGCTCACGGACGTTGAGCACGTCACGGGACGCTTGTTCGCAAAAGGCAAACAGTAAAGCAGTGGGCCACAGTTGCCCCAATGTGCGGATTAATAGGCCTAACGTTACGAT